TGGGGGACAGGGGGATTTCTGCCCTCTGCTCAATAATACTGCAAATTTAAAACAGCTCTAAAATAGTCTATTTTAAAAATACACTACTAAAATTCAAGATTCTGTCTTGATCAAAGATCTCTGCAAACATACTTCATCTGCCCAAACAAGCTTTCCAGCAATTCCTAGTTCCCAGCTCTACACAAAATCAGCATAGTTTCTTGCTAGCTTCTTCTGCAGGTCCAAGCCTTGGAGGAGAAAATGTAAGGTCTGGATAAAACTGGTGGGTACCATAGTCAAATTTTACAGCTCAACCTCCCTGGCTTGAGGTTCTTTTTAGGGACCATGATTTACAAGAAATATATGGCAGCTTAAAGTGAAATCTGCTTTCTAGCTATAGAGTCAGGAATATTCATTAGCAGCTTTTCCTAATGGGGTACGCTCACTGTAAAGTCATCGGGCAAAAAACAGACAAACAAAGGAAAAAGCAAGTGTGTGTGATTATAGCTGTGCTAACTGTGGGTCGATATTAGACGCAAGACAGGAAAGTCAATACCTGCCAAGTGTAAAGACACAAAATTGGTCAAGATAGATATTCTATAGGCTGTACCAAACAAAAGTTTTTAAGGATACAATCTTTTTTTTCCTCTAATTTAAGAGATATTTCTCAAACTATATGATTATATTTTGTTAAATCTCATATCTTAAATACATTTTGTATACATTCTATAATCCAAATCCTTTGCTTATGACGCCTCAACACAGATAGCTTATTTTTTTAGTATTTGTGAGAGAGAGGGGAAGAGAAATACCTGACATCTAATCAATCAATATTAATTTAGCACCAATTATGTGCAGAGCATGTACTAAATGTAGCAGGTAGAAATAATTGCAAGAAATTGAAAAGCACATATAAAATCTCCGAAGTACATGAATTGCTAGTTATGTTGCTTCTTGGTTGACTTATTTTGGGTGATCATGACATGGGAAACCTAGGAGAAGAAAAATCCTTTATTAAATAGGCAAGTTGCATGGAAGAATTATTTTTTAAGTAATGATGTAGTCATGTTGCAGTAACTGAAAAAAGATTAATAAAACTTAATTTAAGAATTATTAATTTCATCTTTCTAAATAGATGTCTGAGTTTTATGATTACAAAAAAAAAAAAGAAAAAAATCAGTAGGAATGGAATTATCAAGTATCTTGATTGTGTGATTTCAATATCCTATGCTTTTGTCAAAATTAATAGTGAAGGCCCTCCCTGCTTGCACAAAGGGTTAAAGTGCAGCACTATGAAGCTCTCTGCAGCCACTGCAGAACAAGCTCTTTACCTGGACAGGGAGGTGACCCACATGGCACAGCAGAACTCTTCTGTCCCTCCTGCTGCTCCACCCAGCAGTGTGTTTCAGTCAATCTGCCTGTTCTGTTCTACACTCCATCTCTGATGAATCCTCCCACCATCTATACCTGCTGGCCTATACCCCAGCTCTTGTATGCATAAATAAATAAACATTAAAATGTAATAGTGAATTCCACTGAATACAATTTAAAAATAAAAAGAGAAGGAAGATTAGTAGGAGATTTTCAAAAGGAAAACTGAGTGTTAAAATGTAAATAAAATTACTTTTGAAAGAAAAGTGAAGACTCACAGAAATAGGAATATTTAAGAAATGTTTGTTAAAGGGGCCTAGCTAGTAGTGTAAGGGTTAAGTCTCAGGACTATGAATCTACAGCCCCTGCAACAAGAGTTTGATCCCCAGCCAGGTGTGGGACCCACATGATGCAGCAGACCTCTCCTGTCTTGTCTGTTGCTCCCCTCAGCAGTATATTTTAGTTAATCTGCCTGTTTTATTCCCCACTCAGTCTCTGGTGAATCTCTTAACCAGCCCCCTACATCTATCCTACACCTCAGCTCTTGTATGCATACATAAATAACTCTTTATAAAAAATAAATATTTGGTAAAAATAATTTTCAGAACATTTACCATAGTATTCAATATATAGAGACTAAAATATAGGATGTTTAATTTCAGAATATACTATTGTATGTTTTTCTGATATACATAGCAAAAAAAAGTAATATTGATAATTCTTCACCTTTGTATAACTTTTACAACTTATAATTTAATTTCAGTTATATAATATTAATCTAGTTATAGTGTATTATATTATAAATTCAAACAAAAACTTTATTTAAAAGTTAGGGGAGATGTTTCTTTTTCAACAATGATAATGGTTCTCTAGTCTAATGACTTAGGCAGTTTTTCACCCTGACAGCAATCAGTGAAGCTACAACCCCATAAATCAAGTTACACTCCCTGACCCCCACAACCCGTTCACTCACTGCAAGGTTACAAATGATGAAAAGCAATAATGACAATAAATCAGGACATTTTTAATGTGAATGGAAGCTATTGGTTCTTCTAGAATGATGTAAAGTTTATAAGGGATATAAAGAAATGTATGAAACCACAAATATGTACAGTCATTTTGGGAATTGATTATTTGAGATGGTGGGTCTGAGGTTCATATTTTGGATCCAGAAATTTCACCTCTAAGCCATAGGAGCTGAAGGTGGAATCCCTCTTTACAGATATGTCTATCATTTTATTTGTGATTCTGAATGCCTGGAAACAACTTCAGTGTTCTACACAGTAAAGTGAGGAGCTACTTAATACATATATTGCCAAAACAAATATCCGTAAAAATAACAGTTGAGGAAAATTAGTACTAATCTAAGATAAAAAAGGTAGATAAAAAAGTGTTGATTAGAGAACTCCTGTTAAAACATGGCACGTGCAATCAAATTTTAAGTCTACTTTAAAATTTTGAACAATAAAGAGCTAATGAAGCAGCAAGCTCCTAACAATCCAGCTCTCCAGGAAAGAGAGATCAGGAGTAGGGGCAGAAATCAGAGAGATGGAGGGTACAGGGAAGACAGAAACCCAAGGAACTAGCTTGGGCTCTCTCTGATTCAGGTTGGGTGGGGGGTGGGGGGGAAGACCCTAACCAAAACAACTCCTGGCCCCTGGTGGCAGTCTGGAGCAGAGACATTCCTGTCCAGGGGGAGAGCCACAGGACCCCAGGGAACAGTGAGGACCACCAAGCATCACCCACCACAAGGATGCTCCCAGACTGGTGTCTCCCCAGGGGAAGTCAGTAGGTCCCTACAAAGTTAAAGCACATTAAACATGTAAGCAGTCAACTCCATCAACACTATTTTGGGCTCCCTTTCTAGACTGTATTTTCAGTGAAGGGCACAAAGTTTAGGGGGACATATTTGACTCATGGTGTGGACTTAGGGTTTCAATCCAGAGGCTCAGTTTATTCAGATGCTGGCAGCTCCCTTTATTCAGTCAAAAGTTCAAGGAAGAGAACTTTTGAGCATTGTCCCTCAGGTCAGGGTTCTCTGAGGTAGGTTGTATAGCTCAAGGGTCTATGGAGAAAATAGGAAAATCTGTTTCCACTGAGGTAAATCCTGTGAGAAGTTATAAATTCCTATGTTTAAGATATGGATGGTCATTGGCTTCCTCAGCTGGCCAGTGTGACCAAGGTCAAGGGTGACAGCAGCACCATGCTGTTCCTTTGGGTTAGCAAGTCATAGTTTTCTTATAGCCTCTTTAATGGGATTCCTAGGTTTATGGATACTCAGGGAAGTTGTCATTCACACCAATCCAAAGGTCCTAACCTTCCAAATTAGTAGCTTGCTAACATCATGTTTGGATTTATCCAGAATTCAGAAGATGAAAAGTTTGTTTGTATGTGTAGCTGAGCCACACTTGGGGGAGAGCTTTAATTAACTGTGGGCTCTGACCACCCATGTCTACAGAGAACTGCAAACTGTCCCTGACTCACACTGTCCTGGCGGAGCTGGAGAACATGAGCCCTGTCTCTATGAGCCTGGATGGAAAGGGGTGCTTTCCTGGAGCACAGATGTGATTTAATTCTATTGTTGTTCCTAAGTCATGACAATTCCATACCCTACTGAGGCAAGAAGTTCCTGGGTCATTTTGACTGGTTTGTTCCAGGCATTAAGCTATTATTAGTCCTCAAAAAGGCTATTAAAGTATTTCATTTATTCTACCTTAAAGATTCAAAATCGGAGGTTCTCAAGAGTTGAGTGATTTTTCCAAAATCTTAAGTATTGAGAGGTATATTTGTATATACCTGCCTGGGGCAACAAACATACCTTTCCCACAGTAACATGCTACCCCCAGAAGCTAAAGATAACTTTGAAAACACCCTGAACACTGTTCACCTAGAAAATATTTATTAAGCAACCACTGTTGCCAAGCACCATGCTGGGGGCTGCTGATGCAGAAAGAATCAGACTAACTAACAGATCTCACCACAGGGTTGGGATGACATGCCTTCAGTCTAGACAGGGGTCATGAAGAGGAGCTACAATGTGCAGTGGGATGACAGGGCAGGCAGAACTGCTAGCAAGACCTGTGGTGCCCCTGTGTGAACAGACAGCAACTGAGTTCACATATATTCATGGGCAAATTATTTTGAAATTCTAATTCACAATGCACCAAAGAAAAAAACGTTATGTAAGCAATAGACATTCAAGGATATCTATGGTGATGAACGTTTTCCCACAGGCCCAGCTCAGTGACTGGGAAGATTCTGTGCTTGATTTACACCTGTCCTTTGACCATGGACCAGGGACTAATGGGCAAGACGGTCAAGAGTACAAAAGAGAAGTAACTTCAGGTGAGGAAATGTGACCAGGTAGCCAGCCACCAAAACTGTTTGGAAATCTAATGATACTGGGTTAAAGACACCCATGTTCTCAAATATAAAGATATTTACGTCCCTTAAAGAACCATAGCTACTTCCTAGTGTATTCAGTTCCACAGTTAGTTTATGCAACCTCAACACCAAACAGAAGTTGCAAATAAATTCAAATGTGCAATGTTCTCCATCTCACCCCGTTTCTGACTGCTTTTGTACACATCACTCACTGAACAGAGTGGCAAAGCATAAGAAAGAAAACATGCTCAAGCAATTCTGCATACCTCTTCTAATGTGGTGTCTGAAATCCCATAGCCTTTCAGGTGCAGACGCTGGAGGTTCTGATCCAGGGCCTGAAAGAGCCCTTTGAAGCAGGTCCTGTCAGCATCTTTGGGGACAATGTAGGTCATCTCCCTGTCACTGCTGTCTTTGAGAAATGCTTGTGGTATATAAGACTGTATCAGAGATGTAGCACAGGCCACACTCTTCAGGTCTTGGTCTTCCAGAACAGGAGACTATTGGGAAAAAAAGTGAGGAATAGCAAGGAATACAAGTTCAAATGCATCAAATCTATATCAACCAATTTCACATATATTCATTAGCAGTCGTTTTGAAATTCTAGAATTATCATTTACACAACAGACATTTAAATAATATATTGTACCATTTCCTTCTTCTTTTTTCTTTTTCCTTGTAATATAAGTCTCTGGCATAAACCTATATAGGAGAAATCCACAGGTCCATCTCATTACTGGAAGACTGGGGACCCCAGGAATATCATGAAGCCTCCCCTTGCCCATGGAGTGCCCTGAAGAGGACTCTGGCCTGGATAAAGGACCATAGATCACAATCTTCCTAAAAAGGACACAATGATTCCACTCAGGAGGAAAGGAGTCATGTCAGGATGGCAAGTTGCTCACCCTGAATTAGAAAGCAAGTAAATAAGGTGCTCAGGGGGCACCAAAGCTAGAGAGAGTCTTTGAAAGCGGGGAGAGTGGAGAGGCTCAAGCCCACACTCATGAATCATACTCCTGAAGCTCTGACTCCCTCACTGACACAAGACAATAACATTGAGACCAAGGTGGGGTTTCAGGAGTACAAATTTCGCATCTCAGATTCCATTCCATTCTGTTTCTGTATTATAACCATGGTCAGTCTCATAAAGAGAATTTCACTGTCATACACAAACACCACAACATTTTGGGCATACCTGCCAGACCACTGGGGCAGATCATGTTACTATCTGGGGCTTCCCCCCTCACCCAACACCTCAGGTGATCAAAACATACCTCAGAGTAAGCGATTTATTGTCCTTCTCAGTCATAGTTTATTTAACAACTAGCCCATTACTCACCGAGGCCTCTAGAGGATCATGGCCTCCCTTACCAATCCACCCTTGTCTGGGCCCTCCACAGAGTGCTCCCTTCAGCTGCCCCTCCTCTGTCCCAAGAGCACTATAGTCAGCCCTCTAAGCAGCTTCTAGTCCACCCCTCTTAGACCTCACTTAACTACTTCTGTTTGTTCCACGAGAACACCCTTTTCCTCCACATGTCCTGCGCCTTCCATACAGGTGCAGAAACCACATTATCATCATTATGTTATGACCCATGTCACAACCAGAATAAATATTTCTCAAGTGACTTCACTACGTAAACTCTCATTCCTTATGCTCCACAGAGGAAGGACACTTCTGCATCACCAGATGCCATACTTGTTTCGTGAGTGTCAGGCTGAGTCCCTGGCCGTAGGACTCAGTCAGGCAGAAAGGAGGCCCACAGCACCGTAGCTTCCCCTCCTGCAGGACAGCGACACGGTCACTGAGTGCCTCAGCCTCGTCCAGGTGGTGGGTGGTAAAGATGACAGTCCGACCTGTGACCAAGAAAAGAGGGATCAGTACTGGCATGATGAAGGCCCTGAGGAGGAGGGTCAAGGTTGTCCTTCAATGAGAGGTTCAGGAGATAATTTGAAGAGCATAGCCAGTTTTAAAACTGGGGGGAAAAATGGAAATGGATTCTGGAGAAGCAACACTGGTCAAGCCACAGAGGTAAGGCCCTGACAGGCTTTCCTCCAGTCTCCCCAGAGAGTTACGATGCAGTTTCTACAAATCCTCCACCTCCTCATGAACCATAGAAGGTGTTTTGACATGAACTAAGAGTGAAACAGAGGCACAAAAGGCAAAGTCGCTGTGTCTATCCTTCCTATTCTGCGACTCTCAGAGGTAGCCAAGGAGTGGAGAGTGGAGAAATCAGCAGATATGTCTGAGTGGGCATCTCTCTCTCTGACACTCAAGTCCTACCCATTCCTTTTTGGATAATCGACTATATACTTAAGGAGAAGCATTATTCTATATAAATGGCTGCTGCATACAAAAATCAATCAACACTGTATTATAGCAGGAATGTGGCCAAGGTACATGCAGATATCTAGAGTCAGGGATTCATCCCCACTTACCTGGAGAAGCCCATAGCAGACAGGGGCCACAGGGCATGTGTTCAGGGAGATGGAAAAAGGGGAGTCAGTAATAGGGACTTGAATTAGGGGCCTTCCCAGGAAGAAAGGTGCCACAGAGCAGTAGACACATATTAAGAGAGTCACACGTGCACTGTGAATTCTGGTGTTTTATTAAGTTTACCAGCTTTCTTGGGGGGCAACGGGGTAGGTTCAGATTGACCTCAGATGATTAAATGTCAGAGATTATAACAGATGATTTTATAAAGTTTATCATCGAAAAAGAAATCAGGCTCTCCTTGGTGGCACAATGGGTTAGAACACAGCACTGCAAGTAACCACAGCCACTCCAGTGCAAGTTCGATCCCCAGCCAGGGAAATGAACCACATGGCGCAGCAGACCTCTCCTGACTCTCCTGCTGCTCCCCTCAGTAGTGTACTTTGTCTATCTGCCTACTCTGCTCCCCACTCTGTCTCTGGTGAATCCTCTTATGGCCCCTGCAACTCTGGCCTGTACCCCAGTTCCGTGTGCATAAATAAATAAATATTAAAAAAAAAAAACAGAGAGAAAGAAAAAAGAAATCAACTGAAATCTAAGTTTGGACTTTAGATTAACTGTGTGCATGCTTGATCTTTATTGGTTTCTCAATGGATTTTAAGTAGACTCAAGATGTGATTCCAAACTTCAAAGGATAAACATTACTTTCCAGGACATTTCTTTACTGCGTCTATCTCTGTTCAGAGGGTAATACAATCTCTCTTTGTATCTGAAAATGGTACAACCCACACTCACCCTTTTTATTTTAATATTAACATTGCTAACCTGTCATTGTGCATTGATGCACCAGATATAAAATCATACATTTTCATGGAAGTACACATACTTCTGCCAAAATCTTATAAGATTTGAAAATGGACAAAGTGAATTCCAGAGGCATTGAATATTTTAGAATTTAGATGATACAGGAAGCACAGAGCAAGGGTGTGAACGCAGAACGCTTTGGTCATATGTGTTTATTTGCCTTAGCCACCTTCCTCCATATCAACCATCCATGGGAGGTGTGAGAGGCCTGGAGCCAGGGTTGATTAAGCACTCAGAGCTGCACATCACTGAGCAAGACACACAAAGATAAAATTCCAAGCACACTGAGCTTCAAATGCACTGGTGTTCTGACGGAAGAATCTCTTTCTACTCAGCAGGGAACATTTGTTTTTACTGAGTCTTAGATCTGTTTCACAAAGCTAGTTACCTGGAGGTTTGGGGCTGTTTCCAGAAACATTTTGATTCTCAAAAACATTTTCCTTCTAACACCACCTATCTAAGCCACTTACATCCTACTGATTTTACACTTCAATCAGTTCTGGGACTATTACCAAGGAATACTCCAAAGACAAAAGTCCTGCTAAATGACAGAAGACGGTGAACAAATATTTAACATATAGCAACAAAATGTGAGTAAAGCTCTCTGTTTCTGAGCCATCAATTGCATCTTGTTCTCTGTCTAGCATTACCTTTATGCTCATAGCACAGAGCTTTAGTTGACCTTTGAAGACCTCATCTCAGATTCAAAAATAAACAAGAGTAGCAGGCTCTGTGCTGTGCTACAGTTCATGTGTACAGAGATGGTAGACTCTCTTTTTTATCCCTCATCTTTCTTCATCAGCCTGCAGTCAGGATGACATGGAAGTTCTTTAGCCCTGTTTTAATCGTTCTTTTTCAAAATGTCATCAAAATATCTTTAGAGAGTTATAAAGACTCTTGAACAGAATATTCACAATTTGCCACTTTTGCTGATTCTCTACCTTTCCTTAAAGTACTTAGATAAGTGGAGAAAGGGGAACTCTGTGATCCTGTGGCTATTAATGTATCAACTGGTACCCGGTGGTCAACATCCTCTGGTTTGTCAATGATGAACAAGACCACCAAGCACTCCCCTTTTTCATAGTTAGAGATGGGACAGGTATTTTTGAAAGGGTCAGGTCAGGCTTACTGGACCTCACCTTAGATCCACTGGCTTCCAGCTCCTGAGCCTTGGCTTTGTTCCCTCTCAGTGGCAAAGGGTCACCTCATCCTTTACAGACTCCACCTCCCTCTCCTTGTCAAAGTCCACAGGACATGAAAGTAGATACCCAAGTTATAGGTGTTTCCGGGACACCAGAAGCCTTAGCCTCACAAACTTTGACTGCCTGAGACACTGATAGACCCTTCATTTTCTGAGAAATTTTCCAGCCTGGGCCAAAGTCCAGAAAAATCTGGAAGTCAAATTTGCTCACATAATTCTTTTGCTGCTTCTTTTGTTGACTTCTTCCTAAACCCCCTTGAATGATGAAATAGAAAGAAACAGAATGGCATCTTTTTTTCTTCACATCTCCTTTTAGCCATCCTTCTCTCTGACCTTAGCCTTTTGACAAACCAAGTAAGAAAGAAGATCAGGTCTTCTTCCCCAAAGTGTATATCTCAGACCTATGGCTGCTAAAGAAAGGATGAACTGCTTTCTATTTTCCTTTTTGTGTTTTTCTGTATGCAAATCTTAATTTCTTCCAAAAGATGGAGGTTTCTGATCAAGTTAGAAGAAGATATTTTACTAAAAAAGCCAAAAAGAAAAGGAAAGTAAAGATTTGCTAGATCGGATATCAACTATGCCATCTATAGCTATGCATGTTACCTGTCAGAATTGCAGGAGATTCAGAATTTGGGAACTTGTAATTGTATATATCAAGTTTACTCTAACTTACAAGTGTAACATAACACAGGTGAACACAGAATCTCTAAACAAAGCTGAAATTCCACGCTGGGCTTTATGAATGCCCTCTGTGGCCATCAGCAAATCACATACCATTGGTTTCTGCCTTAGTTTTTCATCTGAGAGAATTAAGGATTGTTTTAGATTATAGCAAAGATGCCTCTTTGTTGTAACAAAATATGTATGATCAATACAACTGCCACAGAAATAATGGCTATTGTACATTGCTAACACCATTATCAATTTAATAGATCAAATTACATAATTCCTAGCACTACAGAGATGTTATATAATGAATATATCTCTATATACTGCTGTGAAAATTTCTTTTTCTGAAAAAGATATCGTATTGTCATGGAAATAGGACATGATTCTTTGTACTTGGTAGCCATCTTTGTCTTGCATCACAGTATTATGGGAAGACATAAATAATGATGTACACATCTTACCTTCTCGATACTTAAGGAGAATATCCCAGATGCTGCGGCGGGAACAAGGATCCACCCCACTGGTGGGCTCATCTAGAACCACAGTCCTTGATGTGCCAATGAAAGCAATGCCAATGGAGAGCTTCCTTTTCATGCCACCAGAGAGGGAGTGGGTTTGTTTGTGCTGGTGCTGTGTTAATTCTACATCCTCAAGCGTTCTGAAATGAGAAGAAAAAAAAAATCCCTCACTCATCTCCTGAACATCTTTATGTTTCACTTCAATTTTACACTCCAAATGTAAAAACCTGCAGTAACCAAATCTTTTATAAACAACAGATACATCTACAGGGCCTACATGCCAATATGTGCATGTGTCTTGAACATAGCAAAATTGACCTTGAATTTCTCATGGGTCAGCCAACAGACCAATGTTATGCTGCATTCTCAGGATTAGTCAAGAGTTATTCTTGAAAAGTAGTGCTGTCCACTCACACTTTCTGTCAAGGAGCCTCTGTTATCTCAAGACCAGAAGAAGCAGAAGCCCAGCTCCAAAACTCAGCAGAAGGATGAGTCTGGAGAAATCCTTTGACTCTAGCTCACATACACTACATTTTTATAGGGTCACCTTCCTAATTGAGTAATTGGGAAATTCTCACGAAAACCCATGAGTAAAGTATAAATTATCAGAATGCATTAATGTGCGAATAAGCCCTCTTATTATCTGTCTCAAGAGTTCGCAGATGTCAGACACCCAGTACAAAAATATCACTTTGCATGAAGCTTTGATTGGTCTTTCTATGGATCCACTTTCTTTTTTCATAAATAACCTTTCTTACTAAATACCAGCTGATGATTTAACATGTGTTCACATCACATGAATACTAACTCCTCTTGTCACTTAATCATTATTAAAGACTTGTTAAGGGACGTCTTCTAGAATCCTTTGCCTGAGTACTCAAACAAAGTGGATGCCCTCCCTGTTGACCTGCAGCCATGTTTACAAAGACATGGTGATAACAAGTAATCAGAGTGAAAAAGTCAAACAGGAGGAAATTTTAAGGGTTCCACACCTTAAGAACCTTTGGTTTGCAGAAAGCTTTGTAATTTTAGGCAAATACTTGAGTGAAATCCCCAGGACTTACTTGTCTGATTATTGAGTTTTGTTTTGTTTTGTTTTAAAGATTTATTTATTTATGCATATAGAACTGGGGTACAGACCAGAGGTGCAGGAATGGTGAGAGGATTCACCAGAGACAGAGTGGGGAGCAGGACAGGCAGATTGACAAAGTACACTGCTGAGGGGAGCAGTGGGTGAGCCAGGAGAGGTCTGCCATACCATGTAGATCACCTCTGGGGCTGGGGATCGAACTCACACTGATGCAAGTGTGGCTAGTTTGCAGTGGTGCATGCTAACCCATTGCGCCACCAGGGCGGAACATACTAAGTAAAATTTTATGTGTTTTTCATTATGTATATACATCTTTTCCTGACCTAGAAACAGCTTTAGTTGTCTTCTCAGCACTGAGTTTTCAGGCTATCTACCTTATCTTTTCTCCAAGTGGCATAGTAAATTTCCTGTTGGGAAAATCACAACCTAAATTTATGGCAGTAATGTATGTTTCTAATTTTGAAGTGCTGTCTTTGTTGACAACATCCCAGTTGGAAGAGAAGATAAATTGTTCAATTTCAGCAGGAAACTGTCTTGACCATACCATTCAATCATAATTAGACAGTGTCACTACTTCTAGGTAACTGCAGTGCAAAGAAGGTGGACAAGTGTATGTGTTAGTCCCAACTTTGTCATATTTACTAGGAGTCAATCAACAGAGAAGAACAAGTCAGTAAGGAATCAGCTCTTTTAAACATGCAATATATGAAATATGTTAAATACAAAAGTCCTCTGTTCTCTTGATGACAACCCCACCTCACCCACTCATTATCAATATACAGCCTGGATCTTGTCATTTCTAATAACTATAACCAGATATTTTCTTCTTATTACAGCTTTTTTTTTTTTCCTTTTTCAGTCAATCCTTACTTCCAGCAATCAAGCCTACATGATGTTTTTCCTCTTGGAATTAGATGTCTACATGTTCTGTTGAGTCATAGGATCCCAGATGAACCAACTGTGCTCTCACAAGCCAGTCTCTCCCCAGCCCTTTAGAGCCCTTGCCATACCATGTACAGGAAAGTAATCAGCAAGTCAACCCCTTCTGAGTTTGCCTCAGTTACTTGCTCTCTAGCTAAAATATCCTTCCCTTTAGCTCACTTTTACATCTTGAAAGCATCCCATTTTTTGGTCCTTGTTGTTGGGAAATTTCTGGGAAAAATTAATCCTTCCAATGTCTCTCCTATTCTCTCTTTAACTGGCATTAATAAGACCTTCCCCTTCAGTATGCAACTACATTGTTCTTTTTTTAATATTTATTTTTTATTATAGATTTATTTATTTATGCATATAGAACTGGGGTACAGGCCAGAGGTGCAAGGGCAGTAAGAGGATTCACTGAGACAGAGTGGGGAGCAGAACAGGAAGATGGATGAAGTACACTGCTAAGGGTAGCAGCAGGTAAGACAGGAGAGGTCTGCTGCACCATGTGCGTCACCTCCCTGGGTAGGGATCAAACTCAAGCAGCTTCAGCCAGCTTCGCAGTGCTTTCCTTTAACCTGTTGTGCCACAGGAGGGACCACAACTAAATTGTTTTTATCAAGGCCTCAGATGACTTCCATATTGTAGCATAAGTAATGTTATCAAGTAATGTTGTCTTGCAATCCTTCCAGTTTGCAAGAAAAATGCCTAGGGACAAAAAGTGTGGGCAAGGGACATTCACACCTATGATTGTGGATACTTGGGCCCAGAAAGTATGGGCATACACATTTGTAAGTTCATACACCTGTGCCAGAAAACAATGGCTAAAAGGGCAGCGTTACTACAAGATCACAAGCCTCAGAGAGGACATGAGGCTAAAATAGAGAATGCTAGAAAGAAGATGCCAGGGCCTGAGAGACTGAGAAAGGAGTTGCTCAACAGAAAAGAATAACTCTGCAATGTCCTTCTTAAGGGAAGATAGATTCCATCATCCCTTTGACTGTTATCAACCTTGACCTTCATGTGCTTTATGCTTCTCATTGCTGTGCTGTGTTTCTTGGAGGCTGTGAGAACTGACACCTACCTCATCTGGTACTGTTACACAACACACATACAATATCCAAAGCTCATTTCTAACTTCTCATTTTACTTGACCACAACAACATCTGATACATTTGAACACCTTTTCCTCTTTAATGGACTTTTCTCGTCCTTTGACTGGTCACTACACATTGGCCTATTCTCTTCTCTTCACATTGGAATATCCAGGGATCAATCCTTTATTCACTTCTCGTGTCTACCTGCACTCATCTCCCTTCAGTCAAACAAATTGGTATCCAACTTGGTGTACACCAGGAATCTAAGAGTGAAGTTTAACTATACAAAAACATCATTGATTTTAAAGGCTAGCAAAGCACTTCTTTTCATTTATCTTCCTAGGCCAAAAAGAAGAACAAAACAACAATTACCTGACTCTTGACAAATATTTACTATAAATATTCTACTAGGGATCCTATCTCCTCTGAACATACATTCTAGCTGAACTTACATTTTTACTAACTTGTGTGTTAATGAAAACAAGTGAAACTACTAGAATCTAATACAGAGGGTGTTGGTTCTAAATCAGATGTTTTCAGTTTTATCTACCTCTAATTGAGAACTTCTATCCTAAAACATGATCTTGTGATTGTTTTTCTGCAATTTGGCTTGGTTGCTAGGTAACATGCAGGGAAGCTCCTATAATATGGGTGTAGGGCTGAAGTTCAGATGAGAAAGGGAAGTGACATTTTTGCACACCCAAACTAAAGTATGAATATCATTATATGGAAAATGAGAAAACATGGCGGAACTTTTAGTAAGAAAATAGCACCATTTCAGTGATTCCATCAATGAACATACATATGTGTGTGTGTGTGTGTGTGTATGTACATATATTACAATGAAACAAACATTTATACAGAGGGATTTTCATTTTTTTAGTCTGGTGGAAGGAATGGAAGACAAATATAGGAAACCATGTGGTGATAAGCATATAAGAAAAAAATAAAATTAGGTGTAACTCGGCAATGACAGTTAGCCAGGCTTCTCAGAAAGTATTCTCATACAGATGCTTATGGCAGTGACGTCACAGCACACAAACAGGAAAACACAAGAGCAGTCAAGCCAGAGTGGAAACTGTACAGGCACACATCCTTGAACATGATGAACCCACAAGGGGGAAACGGAGGACCAGATAGATCAGTTCCCCTTAAGGAGAACAGGGAATGTGTTTTAGACTACAGTTCCTGTCTCTCACCCCTCAGGACTTGTACTGTATTGACAATTATATTGTCAATACAGAGTGAAGAATCTTGGCTGTGGAGCCTGAGGGAGGAGGAATATTTACACTATACAAATACAAAGCAGCTCTCCCTCCCAAGTGCTGGCCACTCTCTCACACTGCTAACTCAACAATTGAAAAGTAGCTGTTAGCTTTTTGCAACACTTATCAAAGGCAAAAATAATCAAATCATATCAAACCATAGTGCCACATGTGGGATGAGCAAATTATGTCAACTCTCTAAGTACCTCCTACAGATATTCTTAAAAATACACAAATGAAAATCAACAAACAACTATAAACCAAAGACATTCTACAGGGCTGGAGAAGGGAATAGCATCAAAATTGGGATAGGAAGAGTGCATGGGGCCATGGTGATGAATTGGTGGTGGCAAGTCCATGGAGATTACAATTAAGGTGAAAAAAAAGTACAAAAGGAAGAATGATATAAAAAAATAAATAAAACTTGTCAATTAAAAAATACACAAATAAATATAATAACTGAAACTTGAAACCTCATGATATTATGAAGAAAGACCAAGTTTCCAGAATCTAATCACAAAGACATGAGACAGAATTCAAAATTGCTATCACAGGGTCCTCCCTAGTGGCACAACAGCTAGCCACAGCTGCTTCAAGGAGAGTTTGATCCCCCGTCCGGGAGGTGACCCACATGGCACAGCAGACCTCTCCTCTCTCACTGCTGCTCCCCTCAGCAGTGTACTTTGTCAATCTGCCTGTTCTGCTCCCCACTCTGTCTCTGGTGCATCCTATCATTGCCCCTGCACTTCTGTCCTATACCCCAGTTCTGTGTGCATAAATAAATAAATCTTAAAAAAAAATTCTATCACAAAGAAATCAAAGAGGTGAAGAAAAAAATGTTGTAATACAAGCCAAGGTGATACAAGATAGCTTAGGAATTCCAATCAAAGAGATAATAACAAAATTTCCAAAAATGAGTAATATTGAAAAAAAATTAACGAAAATTCTTAGAAATTTAATATTTAAATAATAAAATAATGCAGGTTGTAAACATTGTATAAAATAAAGATTGCCAAAGTTATTTTAGGGGCCAAATGTCTCTACCACTGTAACAGTACTTTTACCCCAGCTACGGTCCTTGCACCCACACACAACACTCCCATTCCATCATTCCTACCTCGTATTCCTGGAAAATAACTGTTCCCTGACTAGGGGACACTTAAAAAAGTGTTCTGCTGCCTTCCCCCTCTATGTTTCTACTAATCTCTAACAAGATAAGAGAATCTTCTTTTCCTGCCTTGGGTTTTCAGTTAGCCAGCTTTTAACTTTGAATTGCGTTTTGGGTCTTCCACTGGCTCAGTAATAAATGAGTCTATCACCTCCAGGCTCCATTCCCATCCTTCTCATTTCAAATATCCACATGAACCCATGTTTCAGGCACACAACTTCCACGCACAGCCAATGTCATTCTCTTTCACTTACCTGCATCAATGAATACTTTCAAGACAAATCAAATCAAACTCAGTGTCTTCCCTGAGAAGTCTTTCCCGTTTTCCCAATGTTGGTAGTTGTGTCACAATTTCATGGTTAAATATTTGCTATTTTTTTTTCTTCAGATAAAGATACAGAAGTTTTATATAGCATCCCAATGCACTTCACTAAGTTGTACAGGGCACAGAACATGAGAACAAAGATATCATATTACTAACTTGTTGACTTGCTGCTGTAATTCCTTTGGGGTCCACTGTGGTGCCTTTATGGAAGCGAAGAGCAACAGATGTTCCAACACAGTGAGGTTGTCAAACAGGACATCCCGCTGAGGACACACACCCAGTTCTGTCCTGACCACAGATAAGTCTGTTTTCAGGTTCTTGCCATTGATGACAATAGTCCCAGAAGTGGGAGGGTAGAGTCCCGTCAACATGGATCTGCCAGAGAATATAAGACAGCAGGGAGAATACAGGCTGTTTGCTCTGGGCTCCAGCTACCCCATCAGACGCACACCACAGGAGCACACCTTTCCACAGGTCTGGTTTCTGTGGCACACAGTTAAATTGGGGACATTTGTTGCCCGCTTTAACCCTAGAAATGTGAACTTACAATGTTTACCTTTCTACATGATCGATTGTGATCAATGATCTGAGTGGAAGCTCAAGATTATAAACACAACTTGTTTTTACAGATAAGGAAAAAGGCTAAAGGAAGGACATATAGGTCCATGTCACATAAGCCAAGCAGAAGTGCAAACTTCCACTCCCAACTCTGTGGTAAGGTCTTTCTTCCTATGCCCATGTTATAGATCCATATGAAAACCTCAGCAACCTTGTGATGATTCTAGAAATTCTCTTGACTGATCAGACAAAGCTAGTATGAGAATTACCTGCTTCTGATACTTCACTTTAGGAAGTTTATCATTTATATTTTGGCTGTTTTTCTTATTTCTGGAAAGTTAGACAACCACCTATTATAGAACCTACCAAAATCATTACTATCTACCTTTATAAAGTGCATGTTATCCACAAAAATATTTTTCTTAGCAGCTTGTTCATAATCTCCAAAAACTAGAAACAGCCTTAGTTGACATCAACAGGTAAAAGAGTAAATTAATGATGGTGCCCCAGAGTGGATGCAGCAGAATCTTCCCTCAGGTCCAAGCCCAATGACCTGGTGATCACCACAGGAACCCTCAAGCATCCTTTTCAGTAAAAGGAGCCAGACACCATTCCAGTTCTAGAGTTCTGGGAAATGCAAACTCTTTTACAGTGGTAAATCACAGATCTGTGCTCACTTGGGAGATGGGTCAAGGAAGACAGAGAATCTTGTTCCAGAATAAAGCATGTTTGTGTCAGAGTACATCGACAGATACTGTTGCCAGGACATAAATCACACCCCAACAACCTTGATGAACAATTGCCTAGGATATTATGTTTAGACCCCTCTGGGGACTACTATGGAGTAGTATGCAAACATTTTGTACCAGTCTCTGATGGTTTTGTGTGAAATAGTGATACCAATCCATCAGTCTGTCATCTAATAACTGCCAGAAGTGACAGCCCCAAGGAAGACACAAGATACACTTCAAAGAGGCACAAAAAGCAATGCAGTCTGCGAACTTCAAACATCACATGACCCCAAATTTAAATATTATTGTTCCACCAAACACGGATGCCAGGTCATCCTTGCAAGAGAAATGTTTTAGTAAAAGTGTGATGTGGAATACTGGCTTTTGAGTCACTATTCATGCAGCACTTACTTTCCCAATCTGAAAACACTAAAAAATACTCAGCAAGATAAGATCTTCAGCTCTATTTGAACAGCCATGGGGAAAAAAAATAAAAACTTTACATAAATTTTCTTTTAATTGGTTTTCAGTTTTCTGGGTATTTCTTCAGGTTTCTGAAAATATGAGTGATATTTTGGAATCTTAAGCAAAATGTGTGTGTGTTTTTTTTTTTTTACCATTTAATGGGTCATCATTTTAATCCTATTAATAATAAATAAAAACTGACTTGTTTAAAAGAGAAATTCACTAATTTGGGACAGTTATTCATAAACAAGTCTTCAATTTTTAACTGTTTTTGTGTCCTTGAACATTGTGCATCTCTGAGACAACATGAATTAATTTTTAATCAAACTTGAAGTCACTGGATCCTAAACAAAAATAAAGACTTAACAATTAAACAAACACATACAGAACAAGAAATGTAAAAGAAAATACTCAGGTATTTAAACATTTTTAAACACCATTCTGGATTTTTTTTCTATAAATGTGCCAAATAAATAAATAAATAAACTGTAGGAGATAAAGGAACAAATGTCATGAGACTTTCAAAGTCTAAAGTTAAAATTCATGAATTATTTATGGGGAATAAAAAAAGAATTAAAGATAAATTCATCTGCCATCTGCTCTGGCTGCTTAGCCCTGCAATGTCATTGTGATGTGGTTGAGGGCACACTGCAGTCCAGGAGGTGGCTGTCTTCCTGCCATGTCTCTAAGCACTGTATGAAACTAAACTCAAACCAGGAAAAGGAGCATCATCTTCTGCCTTACAGAAAGTGATTTTTGTAGAATCAAAGTACAGCATTTTATGGAAGTGAAATGTGACCCACATGACTGTGGTCTTCCCAGCTCCATTGGTTCCCAGCAGTGCGGTGATCTGGTCACTGTGGAAGGTGAGGGTGAGGTCTTGAACAGCCTTGTGGTGCTCGTACTCCTTGCTTACAGACACCAGGGAGACACCTGGAGGGCCTGCTTCAAGCTTTACTTCCCCATTTTGCAATGGTGACCCTGTGAGGAAGAGGCAAATTTACCCTGAAAGGACTTCAACAACATTAAATAAAGCACACACGTAATCATTCAGTGGACTTCCTTGATTTAATTTCTGACTCTGGGAAACATACAAAGCAATTCAGAAACCTAAGTCATTTATGCTATGCAAGTAACTGCTAGGTGACATCACTAATCATGAAGTTGGGCACCCATGTGTATTCCATCATATAATAAACACACACACACACACAGACGTCTCTTCACTTATATGAAAAGTGACACAACACGCAGGTTAGTTACACAAAAATGTCCATGAGAAATACCCTCTCAAGGAGATGAGAGGTAATTCCTGCTTACTGGTTTTCAAAGTTTCTAAATAATTCTATTTACTTGTGTAAATAAGAAAAAATCATTACTGCAAGTATTGATATTTAAAGCTTAAATCCATCATGGTGGAAGCTTGTTTGTCTACATATTCCATCTGAAGTTGTCCTTTGTGGAAGTGTACCCATGATTGAACAGTGAATGGCGGGCAAAGGTTCATAATTATCCTGCTTGCTTCCTGGAAAGCACTTTTTTCATTTGTAAAGGGCAAACATATTCTCTCTCTCAGAGCTCCTAATACTCCAGTATGTATAACAGCACTTTGCAAATTCTAAAATGCATTTGCTAGACTTTGCAGCCATCCATATTTGCTTTTAGTTTTATAAAAATTCATGCTTGAGCTGAAGCTTCTTAGCTTCTGATTATAATATGCACACAAATGCACATAACACATAGATCAAGGCCCCCAGCCTATGCAAGATGAAAAAAATATCCCATCAGAGGATATTTTCTTGCAAATTGCAATATTTCCAAACCCAAGAGGACCTTCAAGTTGGCAGCAGAGAACAGTACAAACAGTGCCTAGTGCTCAACTTAAAAAGAAAGAAACTGACCAGGAGAAACATATGTCAAATACTGCATTCCTACCAACCTTTATTAGCAAAGTTCTCATTGAAGAAGATCAGGCCGGAATTTAGTGTGCAAGGCTTTTTCTCCATGAAACCACATATATTCTTCCAGTATGATGTAGTGAAGGGGAAATACCATGGTTTCTTTAAACCAAAAGTTCCTACAAAATAAAATGAAATTAAAATTGTTCTTTCTATCTAGAAAAAATGTCTGTAATAAACTAATATGAAATTTTATCCTGTTAACAATATCAGTATGCATCTCATTTAAAAATCTATACACTAAGTGGTAGGTGTCTGTATTAGTATTGCAGAGTGTCCTGATTCTCTCTCTTCAGCCTGACCTTGGTCCTTCTGTAAGGAACCACTTTCATCTACTTCCCCAAGAGGTCTTCAGAACAGGTCTTCAAAAAACTGATAGGTAGTTATTAAAAATAAATGTAGGTGTTGAACAATTGCTGAGTATCCCCCAGATTTAGGTAAAATTCCTGTCCATCACCCTTTTATTTTCCTGCTGCTTTTCTTTTGTCTAGCTTTGATATATGTGTGGATTAGTAGACAAGAGGAAAATAATGGGGAAGATGGAAGATGCACAAATGAATTAATCAATTACAACTTCATAATGCCTACACTTACATATGAAACATATCAACATTATTCAAATGTGTTCTCCAAATTCATTCAATACCACTTAATAGTCACTTTACATTAATCATATGTTGAAATGAAAGTAGCTTTAATTTTTAGCAATTCTGAATTTTCTTTAACACATCCATTCTAGATTATGTTTGATGAATTATATAAATTGAACAAGTGATTGAACAGCTAGACCTACATGAAATCTATTTTAGCATTTTGACCTTTAAGCAAAGGAGAGATTTATAAACATTCCCATATTTTTGATCAGGTGATTCAAGGAAAAACGCGTGGACCCTTCATCTTTTGAAAGTGAAAAGAAGCAGTGAACTAGTATCTGATCTACATTATTATCTGACCATCTGTTATTGGATGACTTATGCCCTCCTAATTAATGTGTTGAGTCCTAAGCCCTAGGACCTCAGAAATGACTATTTAAAGGAGAGTCTTTCTAGAGGTAATTAAGGTTAAATAATGTCATTGGAATGAGTCCAATAGCATTACTAGTGACTTCATGGGAAAAGGCTTAAAATCATACACACACAATGAAGGTCACCTGAGGTAACAAGTCCAGGAGAGAGACCTTAGAGAAACCAACTTGTAATACTTTCATGTTGGAGTTCTGGCCTCCAGGATTGTTAGAAGATAAATTTAAGTCCAACAAGCTGTGTAATTTCCCTGAAGGAACTAATGCATATAGATACTCTCTTAGCAAGGTAGCCACCATTCCTTAATGAGAAGAAAATGACCAGTATATGGACTATTATATCATATCTTAACCACACTCTCTCTATGCACGGTGCCATCCAGGTCTTCACTTGTGTTCATTTGTATAGCTCTGCAATCACCCAATGTGGGAGCACTATTATCAAGTCTCCCTTCCTAATGGGAAAAAGGTATTTAACAAAGCTTGTCCAAAGATACATATAGTGAAGTGAACTGCAAAAGTCATGTAAGCCATAAGGCTGGCCTCACATGGGAACTATGTATTTAAGTACACACAAGAGATAGCAAGAATGTGTTCAGTTCCCCTTTCCAACAAGATCCTCTTGCTTCAAACAAGTAAGAAGACCCAGCTTGCCTACTGCATTTCAGAATCGTCATCTACCTAATGGGAACATTAGAATAACAATTAATGAATGGATAGTGGACTTATAGAAATAAAAGGAGATAATCAGCAAACAGTCACATCGAGAAAACTAGTCTACAAAAAGTCGATCACCATTGGTCTTCCCTCTTGCTCATCAAACAGCTGGTTTTGTTAAGAGGTCTTCTCAGGTGACCATGTCAACAGTTTGGGCAGAAATATCCTCTTGACATCAGCAATAGAAAGCAAAACATCTGAGATTAGTACCACTTTTAAATGAGCAGAGATTAATGGGATGCCTAGAAACATGCTGGAGATACCAAAACACTGAATGTCCTCAGCATCATTCATGAGAGCTGAACTGTGATGTTTTGGGCTGTTGAGTTAATCCAAATATTAATCCAATCTATTAATCCAAATAAGGTGGAAGCTGCCAATTCTAAGGTAGCACAGAAGCCATTCAGTTCTTTTCTACCATTTGCTTTTGTCTTACAATTTTAAATTTGTTCAATGTGCACACTCTGAGAAGCAGTCATCCTGCTCACATTGCCAGAGGTGACTGTGTGCATTAATATGTGCAGAGGCCCTCAGTTTAGGCTGAGTTTTCTTCTCAAGGGCTTTTGCAGGCCAGGAAGCTAATTAGCATTACCCCGAAATTTGACAGAGATAGAAGAAGAAGTCAATGAGATTAGACAGATCAAGCAGAATCAGATTTAATGGCAAACACATAAAAAGAGTTTATGAAACAAAAACTCTTTTAGAGGACCAGATGTTTGCTTGTGAGTTTGAGTTGCACAGAGACCGACAATTGACCCTGAGCCCTGGGGAAGGTGATGAGGTGTCTACAGAGTCTTCTGATCAAACATCAAGGCTAAAAATGTTGGTGTCAGTATCCATCTGATTGCCTTTTAAAAGAGAGAGAAAGAAAATGGAAGAAAACATTTGCTTCAGGATATTTATGAGTGTGTGGATGTGAAAGAAAGAGTTAGAGAGCAAGAAAGACAGAAAGACTGAGAGACTCACCCACCCAATCTTGGGAGACTCCCTACTCACAAGAGACTTTCAAGCAGTGGATCTCAATAATTTTGATATGTGTAAAGAAACATTTGGGTTGGAGCAGTGAATATATGCTTTAAAATGGAGGCTACATTATTACTCAGCTGATGGGGCCTAGGGCAGGAAGTGAGTGCTGCTGAGAAGGCAGGTCTTTCATCAAATTTCCCAAGAAGAAGGACACCACTGAAGGAAGTACCACCGTTGGTCATGAGACAGAGGGTGTGAAGGTAAAATGTGGACAAGAGACTTTGTTGCTGTGTCCATGAGCAGAAAAAAGGTGAGGCAAGGTGAGTGAACTGATGCTTGGCTAGTTACAATAATATGAGCAGGTTTTGGGGCACTGGAGCTGACCCTAATTGTCTGGTCCTGCCTGGGGGATTAGTGTAAAAGGATAGAGACCCAGTGTGGTATGTGTGTGTGTGTGGGCAGGGGTGGGGGGAATACAGAAAAGATGTGGGGATGTGGGTTTGAGATTGCTGGATTTGTGTATGAAAGATATGCTCAAGAGCAAATGTTTTACTAGCTCTAGGAAGTGGCTAGACTTAGAATGGGGCTGAGGGATAGCAGTCTCTGCAGCGTCAGTAATGCAGAAGATTAAAGGTACAATTAATGCAACAAGGATGGCACTAAGCACATTCTCTTTTCAGGATCTTGGAATGGAAGCTTTCCCTACAAAGATGCAGCCCAGCCCGTCCAAGAGTGCCCTTGACTTGCATTCTGTGAACCTTATAACACATGTTCCTACAACTTAAAAGCCCTTTATAGTTGCTGCGGCCTAGGACAGATAAACCTAAATTTCTCCGATGGTTTTACTTATTTTTAATTTTTTAAATATATTCATTAAATCACCCTTCATTTTTGTACAATGTATGATTCCTCCATAAAATTTCCACCATCAATTCACCCATGCACCATCACCATAGCCCCTTTTTTTGCAGGAAATTTTGAAGGGATGCAACGATCTTGAAAATTATTGGAAGACTATGCTTTATGTGGTAACTGTTAATCATTTCAGAAAGCCACATTATCAACATGATGCAAACTCATTGTTTTTGATTTTGCAACACAGTACAACTATAGCAGTCTTCATGCAGTCCGTTACATGTCAAAAGATGTAGATCATTTTTAAAAAACTTAAAACCAAATATTTTTAAATTAACAGTTCCTGAAATACACTGTATTTTTCTTATTTTTCAGCTATTTCATTCTATTGTCACTCTGTATATTTTTACAAATTTTATAGCAAAATAAAATCAAATCCACTTTGAAAAAGCTACACATTGAATTGATTAATATCAAGTCTTCCTATTATTTTTCAATATTATTCTGATGCTATTCCCAAGTATCCACACCAGAGCTTCTCAATAAACCTTCTTAAATTACTGTTTCTTTGTCCAATCCATCCTCCATTTCCTGTTACCTAACAAAGATGATAACTGAAATCTCAAAAATGTTGGAAATTGGATGTAGGTACTGACATGGATAAAATTATAAGATAGGAGATGTCACTTCTTTATGCTTCATTATTATCTGTCCCATGTAATAATAAAAGGAATTAGCTTTATGATACTTTTCCAAATAAGGCCCAGATCACTAACAAAAAAAAAAAATCACCTTTTCTACTTTGTGTCTAATTTTTCCTACGTTAATTCAATTTCTTTAATCATACTTATATATAAACCCATTTTATAATGCATAAATTTGATTTGTTATTGTCTTATTTTTAGATTTTTTCCTAATATTTGCATTTAATTTCACTAATCCCCTTACTTTACTTTTAGTGTCAAATTATTCTGAATAGGTTATTCAAAATCAATTTTTTGAAATATTTTAGGTACAAGCATTTGCATAATTTGTTCTATGTTTTAACGATGTCATGCCTAAACTTTGAGAATTTGTATGATATTTAACTACATGTTACTTGCTTTTCCATTCTCTTTTACATAGAGTTTAGACATTACATTAATTTTGGTACTTTGTATACAGGTATAATTTATTACTTGTGAAATTCATTTTAAGAGAGTAAAGAGCATACTGAACAATATCCATCTTAAAAAATACATACTACATAAAACAGTACTAGTAATTACAAGTCTAATTATGGATCTGAAAATCTAACAATATTTTCTACCAATTTCATTTTTTGTTATTATTGGCAGACTTTGTCAAGGTTTAAAATAATGTCGTTATTTAATCATATGTAAATTATTTATTCTATTTTTTTCTTTTAACTTTTGGGATAGAATCAGCAATTTCATGATAAAAAGGGGAAAATATTCATATCCATTATCATTTTTAACAAACTCCTATGTCTTTCTGTTTTTAACTCTATGTTTTTAGAGTTTCGATCTTTTGTTATGGAATAGCCTCTGGATGTTAGTA